GGACTTACTTAGGTCACCACTGCCTGTTGCGGTGGTACAACACTAAATGTATAGGTAAAGCTAAATGTGCCCAAATTGTCAGTTTAGACATTTCTCTGTTTCGTCTTTACTCCAAAATGTGAACATGTACAAATTGAAATGATACATCATCCTGCTACATGGGACGAATCTATTTGTGTGTGTGTTGTTCATCCAACCAGAGGCTGCCATGTCATTATAGAGGAATGTGAAGGACACGTTCGCTATAATCTATCATGCAGACACCCATTATTACAACGACAACTGGTATGTGAGAACCCAGTACAACCAGGCCAAGGTTAATTATCAGTTTCCTGGGTGGAAACACGTGTGGGTGCTTTGGGTTGACACTGTCAGTAAACGTTACAAAGCACAATATTATATGGGATATACACATGCCGTCAGTTTTCTACAACGTTCTCGAACGTAGCCTACTAGGAACTCATATCCGCCAATGTCGACCAATGGTCAACTATTGACGCTGTGGTCTTCTATCGAGTCTACACACAACTATTGACTCTGTGGTCTTATATCGACTCTATGGTCTTCTATCGAGCCTACTGGTTTTCTTTCAAGTTTATGCTCAGGATTTTGACTCTATTGTCTGTGCTCAACTGTTGAATCTGTGGTCATATATCGACCATATGCTCAACTACTGACTCTGTGGTCTTCTATCGACTCTATGCTCAACTATTGACTGTGGTCGTCTATCGACTGTATGCTCAACTACTAATTCGGTGGTCTTTTATCGACTCTATGCTCCATTAGTGAATTTGTGGTCTTCTATCGACTCCATGCTCAACGGTTGACTCTGTTGTCTTCTGTCATCCCTATGCCCACCTATTGACTCTGTGGTCTTCGATCGACTCCATGATCAACTATTGACTTTGGTCGTCTGTCGACAGTATGCTCAACTATTAACTCGGTAGTCTTTTATCGACTCTATGCTAACCTACTAACTCGGTAGTCTTTTATCGACTGTATGCTAACCTACTGACTCGGTGGTCTTTATCGAATCTATGCTAACCTACTGACTCGGTAGTCTTTTATGAACTGTATGCTCAACTACTAACTCGGTGGTCTTTTATCGACTCTATGCTCAATTATTGAATCTGTGGTCTTCTATCGACCCTATGGTCTTCTTTCGACTCTATGGTCTTCTATCGACTCCATGCTCAACGGTTGACTCTGTTGTCTTCTGTCATCCCTATGCTCACCTATTGACTCTGTGGTCTTCGATCGACTCCATGATCAACTATTGACTTCGGTCGTCTATCGACAGTATGCTCAACTACTAACTCAATAGTCTGTTATCGACTCTATGCTAACCTACTGACGGTGGTATTTTATCGATGTCGATATACTCGAAAGAAATGTATAAATGATGGTTCCCTAAATCTAGAGTTAACGAAATATGTTTAAATATGTTACAATGTAGAAATTAAGCCTGTTTAAAAAAGCCCGACCCAAATATGAAGAAAACTAAAACAAGTGAAAGCAAAACGACTTAGTAACAAATTCAGTTAGTATTATATCCGCATTTTTCGTATTTCACGATCTTTAGAATTAGTCAGTCACACTATCAAATAAAAAGTGCCTAAGTGAAATTGTCAGCCATGTTAGAAACTGGAGTTGTTGCCTATACAGTAACACAAACCACAAATCTCCGTACATAGTCGTATTGATATAATTAGGATACAAATGATTACGTATCATACGCTGTAATCCTAATAATATTCCCACACATACCATACCATCTCATTAAAAGATTCAACAGAAAAGCCTACCGGAAACAGTCACTGTCTTTGGACAGTATCACTAAATTCTACCTCATTACCATCACTTCCGATAATTTTCACAACTTTGTCTAAACGTTCTCACCTATTTTGGATGAGTAAATGTGTGACGTGTTTGGGTTCAAAACTATTTCACTTCTTATAGGACTGAGCAGTATGGACCTACAGCATATCGTAGACATACCGAGTATACAGAAACCTATATCTAAGATATTGACAAACCAAGGTTCATAATTGGGACGAATCTGGAAAGCACAGATACATCGTAGACATATCCAATATACATAAACCCAAGGCTAATAATCGGGACGAATCTGGGATTCGAACACACGATCAACCGACACAACTTATCGAACAAAACAGTGCATATTATCGTGGAGACATCTACACCCTAGACTAACAAGTCTCTGAAATGAACATATTTTACAGAAAAAAACAGTTCGTAGTAAAATAAAAATATAATGAAAAGGAGCCCTGAGACTTTCTTCATTGTCAGAACTGTGGAAATCTAGACTTGCCACATATTCTAGACTTGCATGGTCTTTCATAGATATGTTTGTTTCAGGGTCTGTATGACAGACTGTCTATACCCCTAATCTCTGTTGTATATATTTGTTTCAGGGTCTGTATGCCAGACTGTCTATACCCCTAATCTCTGTTGTATATATTTGTTTCAGGGTCTGTATGACAGACTGTCTATACCCCTAATCTCTGTTGTATATACACCCCCACGCTGGAGATTCAAACACAGGAGCTGCGGGTATGCTGAAAATATGTAGTGGTAGACGGCCTCACGGACACTAAAAAAACATCATACGAAAGAGATCACAAACATTCAACAACCTGTGTCCTTTATCATAACAGTCAGCATGTATTCGCCCCATATCTACATCCCCGTGAGAGTCACCTATCTTTGTACACCTTCGATTTTCCTTACAGTGAAATCGATACAGCGAGCCAAGAAAACAAACACCCACCATAGCACTATCGCTTGAACAGCTGCTTACATGGGAATGTAGCCAGCTCACATATTCAGTGCATGTGGTGTTAATGAGAAACACTTGCACATGCTGATATGCACGTGGCATTATAACATGGCATGTGGTGTGATTGAAACAGCTATTACTTTCATCTTTACTGACATTGTCAGAACTTGTCAAATAACAATGCGCATTTGTCAGAAATATATATAAAGTATAAATACACGATGTTGAATATGGATCTAAAATGACTGACATCATAAGAATCCATCACGGCATGTCAGAGAAATGTAGAATAAAGGTCATAGTGACGCATTTCTCTGATGTTTCAGTACTTCTCTGAAACCCATGACCACTAGTACAACGGGAATCATCAATGGGCCGAGTGGAGGATTCGAACCCATATCAATAAATGTTGACATGGTCATGAGATATAAGGAATCAAAAATGGGGCTAAGAATAAATATTTTCAATTGTCAATAATAACAAAAAGCCGAGTCCTAGCGATGAAACATATCTCGCATGCTTATCACTAACAAATTATTTATGGGCAGATTATTCAAACGACTCCTCGTGCCCACCTCTACACTGATACAGTAACAAGGTATTGCTCATACTAACTGCACTTGGTTTAAACAGAGGTCTCAAAGTCTCACCATATGTTAGAATTAAACTAGACACCTAGAATAAACAGAATCAGTCACAAAATACCAAAGACTAAATGTATACAGTATATTATCGCCCATCACATGTATATTATCACACGCAGGAAAGCCCACACTGGGGGAAATAGAAACACGCGCGTCATCATGTGGAGGTAATACTGTTATACGCATGTATATAGCATACATGATTGATTAAATTGAATACATTTCGTCCGTTGCTGACTGACAACCGATGACAAGAGGAGTTGGCTTACCTGACGTCCACGCGTTACTAGTGTGATGCTACAAACTACAGGTAAAGGTATGATACATGATGTTCTGTTTCCATGGAGACCGTTATGAGACTTGTTTAATTCACAGAAATGGTGAAACCGATGCGTCAACTAAATAACAGGATATGAATGCACAGTAAATGTATTCACATACACACCTTCATAATCACACACCTCCATGTCTTTAATATTCATTACGATATTGAGCTAACAGCATATGCTCTTTGAGCATATCCCTGTGACGTGGAAAGGCGCTATATAAATGGCCTATTATTATTATTATGTTTTACAGATTAAATATAATATGCAGCAGAGAGGGTTCGGGTGATTATTATTATTATTATGATGATGATGATGATGATGATGATGATGATGATGACATGTTCAGTGTATGGACGGGGAATACTGGTAGTTTACAGTAGATAAATCACGTAACATTATGTTTGGGGGAATGTAAGGTGCTGGTCACTTCTGTAGTCTGCAAAACCGGTGAGTTGATATCACAACGGTAAACCAATGGTAGCCCCACACCTCCGTCAAGGATTTGACCAAAAGAGATATAGCGACAAGCACAACGGGTCGACTCATCCCGAACGAGCTTCTTTATAACACCATTCAGGTTCTACATGGGCCATAGCGTTTTATTGTCTTGTACAATAATAACATAAGATTCAATTAACCTTGTTAACACCCATCCACATGGAACCATCTCCAGATTATAAAAATATGTGCCCACCTGTAGATTCAAATCCTAATCCTATTTCGGTTTATAGTACTCTATCTGTTTGAAGGGCTTTTCAAAACATACAGCATTTTCTTCAATGAGTGTTCAACAAAATCACTGTACACAAGCGCTTCATGTCGAGAGAACGATACACAATAAGTCTGAAGGGCTAAATGTCAGTTGTGTATGAGACTGTTGATTTATAGGAAGCACATTTACTTGTAGCTGGTGAGCCTGTTACTGGGAGAGTATTGACGTCCCGCCCAGTCGATACGTTTATGTACCTGTGAGGCTACTAGGCCACTGTACCAACACCTACAAGTTAATATTAACTATGCTTCCTATACTCACAAAGAGTACATATGGAAAGTTCTCATTTACATGAATTATGAACATGACCTAAATTTGAATATGTATGCATGACTGAAAATGAGGCCTAATGACGATGTATTACCACGGTATAAATGATCAAAATGGTAACTTCAAAATAGAAGACAGTTACCAAACTGTGCATGCAATATGGTTAGAAAACTCTTCCAACTCACCTTGTGATAGAACACAGTAGGTAATATGTACTCCCAGAGACTAAACCAAAGGCAAAGTTTACAAACTTACTAGGTGGCTGTGTGTTACATACAGAGCTTTATACAAGCTGAGCCAACATGTGTTAGCGTTCTCGCCAGTCAAATGATGCAGATGCATACGTTGACACGCAAGCCTTCAGTTGCGGAGCTTGGGTTGATGGAAGCACCAATGAAATGCAACCACGGGCTATCTTGACGCTAAGACCTTGCCAGCTTTCGGGAAAACTAAGACGTGAATGCTCCTATGTGGAATGCGTGTACAAGCGCTACGAGCGGTCGTGTGCGGATTATACGCTTGTTGAAAATAGGTACATTCAGGTTAAGACTCGGATACGGTATGTTGCTGGTGTGATGCTGGCTGATGATGCCCCGCCACTTGAATTGACGGTTGTCGTAAAAGATTGCGATACGGTTGATGCATGCCGAAGTAATACTCTTTGGAAGTCGTGTTGGAATGCGCACCATTTGTGTCTCAAGCACTCTACTCAAGTTGAACCAAGGTTTCATTTTAAGAGGAGAATTTCGTTCACATATCTGAGTCAGGAACATATTACCCTACCTCGACTGTCAAAACATTTCTTTATCCATCTTAAACAGTGTATATCTGCATTATTCATCTAGCATGTTGAGACAGTCGACAACTGATATCTTCATTTCATATCTATTCATAAGCAACATGTGTTAACAGAAACTGCATTAACCCAAGCTGTTACAATATCAGCGCGTGCTATAGGCGTCATGTCTGCTAAGTAAGTAAGTACCTATATACACCAGTATTTCAAAGGAATACTCAAAAGTGTAAGAACACGACCATTTCAAACTTAAAACTGTAAGACTGATTCGGACACAAGAACACACCTGCATTTCCTCGAGTCCATGTTTTTGACGTGCATCTTTCCTTGGGACAGGGACACTCGGAAGAACAGCCAAAGGTAGTGACAGCCTTGTCTTCCCAGAGGAACATGGCCCCATGCACTACTTACAGATAATCCATACATTCTGGCTCCACTGTGTCTGTCTTCTTTCCTGATGTTGCACTGGATAAAGTCTCAATCGCAACCTTGTTGAGGTAAACACACCATCGACCAGCGTGTCCACATCGACTTTCCCAAGCTGTCACAGAGTTTACAACTATGACCGATGATCCAGTGAATGGAGAGTAGCAATGTATCAGTATACATACAATTTTGAAAGTCAGCACAAATTGTAAACCTTTTCAAATTTTGCTTTGGAGATTTTGAGTGCCGTTAATTTGAATTTAAGTCATGCGTTCTAATAATAGATTCGATGAACCATAAAGTTATTTCAATAACAAGCTATGTTAAATTTAGGTATTATATGTTTCTTTGGACAATCGACTGTATATTTTCTGTCTTTGAGGACATATATTCCCAAGGTAATCCATCGTATAATATATTAAAATAATATCTAATAAGGTTGTGTTATTTTCAAATGGTATTAAATAATTTGTTCCCGTTTTGTAAAGATTCAACTGAACTTTATTTAAGTTTGGAGACTTTAATGCAAATTATTCCTCTGTGTTATCTCATGATCTTATCGCAACTGGCCCAATATCTCAATCAAAAGCCAATTTATGAAATAAAATGGGATTACATGTAGCAATTTGTTACTGAAATAACGTTTGCCTTTTTACACTAGTGTTTATAACTGAGTCAGCTTTCAATAGATCCTGTGTTCCTAAATGGCACGCTTGTTATGTATTTTCACTAATGAGGCCTCTCATACTGTCTAAGTAGCAAATTCGCGATCTGCGTGTGGTATATTATGAACACTCTGACATTTGTTATCTAACTTGGATTGTAGACGTAACAAACAGCTGTACAGGGCTAATGGGTTCGGCAAAGTGGTCGATTACAGGGTAAACGTATGTTAATATTGCCCATAGCCTGGTCGTAATGTATGATAAATGCTGCATCGTATCGGCTGACCTTACCAGGCTCTAATAGGTATGTATTGCTATATATACTACTCAAAAGAAGGTAAGAACATCCGATATGTCATATATGACATTGATAATCTGTCATCTTACATGACTGTACGTAATCGTCATTTTACATAGCTGTAGGACACATGAGTGAGTGAGTGATTGGGTTTTGTTTACGCCGCTTTTAGCAATAATATAATAATAAAAATAAAAATAATGATAATAATAATGCTAATTGCGCCTAGAATCCAACGCGATGCTGTTCTCTGGCGTTACATTATTACCCTGACGGAATTGTACTTTCAAAGCTGCTACTAAGCGTTAAGCGCGACCGTATAGGTCCGTACATCCGTACGAAGTGCCTTGCCCAGGGACGCAAAACAGTATGAGACACAGGTCACAAATTTTGGTGTCTCCACCGGGATTCGAACCCGGGCCTTGGCGTGAGAGGCCAGCATGCTAACCACTACACCACTGTGCTCCACTGTGCTGTGTTATATTCAAACGATATAACGACGGGGACACCAGAAATGGGCTTCACACATTGTACTCATGTGGGGAATCGAACCCGGGTCTTCAGTCTGACGAGCAGACTAGGTTACCTGATGGATGTATTGCTACGATGTACAGCTACACCATCCTACTCCTGCATACCTGTACCATTCATACGCTAAAGCACATGACCCTCACCTTACTTCAAATGAACTTCAGTGGTGGTCGGGTTGTGTTGTGGGGGTCTTTATCACATGTAGACCCGCCGTTAAACACTATCCTAATACTATTTGGACCTTAGCATGTAAAGAGACAAGGACCGTGTTTGCTTTCTATGTAGTATCTAAACACATGTTAACATAGTTGAAAGTTTCATGTTCTTGCTCAGATACAATATACAGGCTCTTTCGCCACTATCCTGACCATGTATTTGAGAAAACAGAGATGAAAAATATACTGCAGGTAATCAAGAACAAGCTGTTGTGTATCGCAGTGTGCACGTGGAGTGCCGGTCGAAGCACGACCCCTCTGGATGCACAAGGAGACTGAAATCTGACATAGTTTAACGCCGATTGCCTGTACAGGGCCCATTCTACACACTGCTGCATTATTAATCCCCAGGGCCATGTACCAGGGTCTACTCTATTTCCATTCTCAGTTCCATGGGGGATATACAACCAATGCTGCCTCATGTGGCGCTATGTGGATTTTCCAGTTACATTTCTACCGGGTACCCTTTCCTGCTGGCTGAACAAGGGCACATTTCTAATGGAAGTATTGCATAAGGAAACATCTGGCCTGCGTTTCACTCGCAATCGCGCATGATATGCATGTATGATGCAAGGACTATACTGATGAAGTACAGATAGGACATAATGCTGACTTACCATGGGTCCGAATCACAACAAATGAAGCACCACCGATCACCTTCTGCTTGTGTGTATTCTGTCGTCGTTTAGTTAAATTAATGTCCGATGTGAACACGCTCGTACAGATAATATTATTACCCAGTTTCTTATTATCTGCGCTGCCAACCACAATACTTATTTACCAAGCGAAAGGTTAGCGGTTCAGTGTGGTAAGGACAATTACTGCACACTGATTTGAATAGAACAAACACAATGAGGAGAGCTTAAAGATGTGAGCCTGTGTGTGTGTTTAACATCACTTTCAAAGTGTTTGCACGTACCTAACGCCATGCATGCACGTATGTGTAAGTCTTCGCGCGTTTGTGTGTGTAGTTGCTTGTGCTATTCCTGGGCAACTGCAGGTTGTCTGGTGCCAAGAAAGTTATATACCATGACTTAATTTGAAACGGCTATTGTACTCAGATACTGCAAGGCGACTCCGAGTCCACCGGTCCTGATTTTATCGCAATGAGGGCAAGGCAAAGTAACAACAAGTAACACCCTTTAACGTATGTTGGGTTGACGAGGCCGGGAAAGGAACCATTGACCATCCGCTCACCGGTAAATGACCCTACTGACCACACACAGAGGCGACAGACCTTTGACACACAACGCCTTTGTTTTGACGTCATTTCAGTATATATAAATATGTTTTTAGACCTTTATTAAAATTGTGACGCAGGTATTTTACTACAGCTTGTTTCCTCGTGCCTATAGAACAAACGTGAAGCGAGAGACGGGGATGATAAAACGGAATCTCGGACTATGGTCCCAGCAATACTGCGACTGTATATGAACGTTGACGTGTGCTTCTACATTATGACTATTACATTAATGCGGTATGAAGGAAGGTCTAGTCCCGAGGATCTGTCACCTATGGTCAACGTGTACACGTTGTTAATACTGTTGTAAATAAACAGTGAAGCACTCTAACTGTATGATATATGCAACGATTGATACCATCAGAACAGCCATAAATAGCAATCAGCGGAACACTAACGTTTCCGCTGTCTACCGCTGATTCAGGTTAAAGAAATACTTAATATTATGACACACGGGATTGTGATGTAATAGTCGGAATATATACTTGTATCGGCATGTTCTCATTTCGCCTACATCCCATTTCGCCTACAGTCTTAAAACAACATACCATGGTCTGTTGACTGTTGATTACGCAATGGTAAACTAGTGGCACCCCTATGATCTAAAAGTGGACTCTTCTAGTTGAAGTAGTTGAAGGACAAAAAAAATAATTTTAAAGAATTTTTTTCCGTTGTTTGTCTGTTATGTATTTACTCTGTTATTTGTCATTTTCCCATCACAATGATTTTCACATCATATCACATCATATAACATCATATCACATCAGTGTTATGGACGTTTACTTGTGCGGATGTCCATTCTAACTTCATCACGAACACCTTGTCTCAGTCTGGTGAGGAATCTCTTCTTCATTCATCAGAGGAGGGTGCTCTGTGACGGAAGATACGTGGTCGCCAATGGTACTGCATGAACCTTTACATTTATCTATGATACACTTCTATGTCTCACAACATTCAGCAGATACTTGTGGCCATCATGTAGTACCTGTCTTCCTCTTCTCTGAGACAAGATGAACTCTGCCCTCTGCACATTAGCCATGGTGACTGTCAGTGCTTGGCGAACGCTTCATTTGTTTGAACTTCTTAGTGGATGCACCAATCCTCTTTACTCAACTACATATCATCATTGCTTTTACAATTTACATTGCATTATTCCCT